TTAATTTATCCATTTCTGCACAATTTAGTATTTTTTGAATAATCATTTCCTCTGGTGGAGTATGAGGTTGTTTCCAACATTGTGCAAAGGCCAATCTAGCTGCCGTCAGTACATGTAATAGTATATACTTCACTTTTTTTGGAAATTGTTTATTAAAGATCCCTAATAGGAAGAACTCTGGTTTGAATTCAATCTGTTCTGTCGTCATTTCCTCCAGCCATGTTTTAATTCTCTGCCAGTATCTTTGTGCTTCTGTACAGGACCACCACATGTGGAAGTATGTTCCTTCCTTTTTTTTTTTTTTTTGCATTTCCAGCAGTTCGGATTCATATTGGGGTGCATCTAATCTCGAGGGGGGGGGAGGTGCCACCTATAAAACATTTTATAAGCATTTTCCTTGTACGATGCCGATTTTGTGATTTTATTATTTCTATTCCAGACCCTCTCCCATTCTGTTAAAATGATACTACGTCCTATGTTCCTACTCCAGGCGATCATATTTCCTTTAATTATCTCTTCCTCTAATTCTGTCTCTAATAGATAAATTATAAAATTATAAAATTTTGTTATTTATTTTTTTGTCTGGGCCTAAGAGAATTTTGTCCAATTGCTGGGATTTATTATAAATTCCGAATTCTTTCTTATCCTGTCTATATCTGTTTTGAACTTGAAGATATGCCCAATGGTCGATTTGTAGTCCCTGATCTTGGAGGTCCTGCCATGATTTCAAATTTCCTTGCAGATCCAATAAATCCTTATATTTAATCATCTTGGTAATATCCAAATTATTAGAGTGTATCATCGCCTCCATAGTTGAGATCCAGATCGGGATCTTTAAATAATATTTTTTCCTTACTTTCTTCCAATTGATCAGGAGGGCATCTCTAATTAGGTGTCTATGAAAGTATTTTTGACTGGTTTTCCCTATATCCCATAAAAAGGCATGCCACCCCCTCTGTAAGTCATGACCTTCTAGGACTAGTATTCTCTTATTAGTTAAGTTCACCCATTCTTTCAACCATACTAAGGAGGCTGCACTGTGATACAGCTCCCAGTTTGGAAGTGCCATCCCTCCCCTGCTCTTCATATCTTGCATTGTCTTTAAATTTATTCTTGGTTTTTTACCTTGCCAGATAAATTTTGAAATTATCCTATTGAGTTCCACAAAGTATTTTTTATGAATTTTGATTGGTATCACCTGAAATATATAGAGGAATTTTGGAAGAATAGTCATTTTAATGGCAGCAATCCTATCTAATAAAGAAAGTTGTAGCTTACCCCATATTTCTAAATCTTTCTTTACCTGTTGCATTAATTTATCATAATTGTTTTCCTTTAACATCTTACAATGTGCTGTTAACCAGATTCCTAAATATTTAATTTTCTTTATCAGTTGAATTCCCATCTCCTTTTCTAATTCTAATTTCTGTTTTTCTGTTAAATTTTTAGTCACTAATCCAGTATATCTTTCTTTTGTCTTTTCATGCTCATATTTTCACAAAAGCTCCTTTTATGAGCTGTGGTGGTGCAGAGCTTCAAATGTAATATTGCAGGCTAACTGCCCACAGCTAGGAGTTTGATCCCAACCAGCTCAAGGTTGACTCATCCTTCCATCCTTCCAAGGTTGGTAAAATGAGGACCCAAATTGTTGGGGGCATTATGCTGACATTGTAAACAGTCCAGAGAATGCTGTAAATCACTATGGAGTGGTATATAACTCTAAGTGCTATTGCTATTTGTAATTTTTAAAAATAAAGCTCTTTTCATTCCCATTCAGATGTTCTCTTCAGTTTCTCTGTGTTGCTTATCGATATATAATTCCTTGCCTTTTTTTGCTTTTTTTTGGAATTTAGCATTTGCTTTCTGCTTTCCTTCAGTTATTTCTGATGTGTTGTGGAGTTTAGAAGTTGGAATTTTATTCCTGGTTCATAAGGAAAACAACAGACAAGTTCTTCTGGTTTAAGATAATGCGGTATATTTACCCAAGTTATACAAATAACAGATGAGGAATGCAGAAAGCTTTCTCACACTGAAACCAACAATTGTTGTCCTGAGATAAGTGGATAAGAAGATATAAAGTAAATCCACCAAACTAGGGGATGCATGAAGTAAGGCCCCTTATCACAATAAAGGGAATAAGCAGAAGGCCCAGCTTCTTTGCTCAGGGGGGCAAATTAGGGAAAAAGAGTAATAAAATGGCATCTCAAGGTCTGGGTCCAAATACTTACTCCATTGGTAAGATTAAGATTGTGGGCTGCACTAAAGATAAAGGTAAAGGTTTCCCCTGTCCAGTCGTGTCCGATTCAAGGGGGCCATGGTACTCATCTTTGTTTCTTAGTTGAGGGAACAAATATTGTCTGAAGATGCTTCTGTGGTCATGTGGCTAGCATGACTATACACTGAGGTACATGAAGTGCTGTTTCCTCTCCACCAAATTGGTACCTATTTATCTACTTGCAGTTGCATGCTTTCAAAATGCTAGGTTGGCAGGAGCTGGGGCAAGAACAGGAGCTCACTCCATCATATGGTACTTGGGTCTTGAATTGCCAACCTTCTGGTCAACAAGTCCAGCATCTTAACCGCTAAGCACCACTTCTGAGCTATACTATGTAATGGTTTACATTCTATGGATTGGCACATTTCTCCCTCTTTCTATAAAGTCCTCACTGACCTAAACTTGGGGTTCCCAATTTGCTTTGGCTGGGGTTCAGTAATGACACTGAAGGTATCTTAATAAAGACAATCAAACACAGAGCTCTATTGTTCTGGTTCTTGTTTTAGTAGAGCAGCTCTTCCCCCAGGATGATAATATCAAACAGCTGTTTGGTTTTGTCCTGCTGTTTGCATTTCAGGATACTTTTTCTTTGTTACATCTTTAAGAAATTCACAGATTTTTGTCTAGAAATCTTCAAGCATTGTATTTATCAAATTGAGTCTGCAAGATCTATTCTTTACCCTTGCTGCATACTCATGAAGTTGAATACTGTTGGTCTGATTATTTTGTTTAAGTTGTAATTTTGTAGGCAGGGAGTAGTAATCTGTGCCATAATTAGCACCAGGTCTTGTTTGTGCTGATCAAAGAAAGCTTATCTGTTTTTGTTTACTGAGTATATAGTCCACAAAACATTATTTGATTTTGCTATTGTCCATCCAGTAATGTCTGTGTATAGAGTTACCTTTTTAGATTGTTGGAAGGAGGTATTTGCTATAAACAAATTTCTTGAATTTTCTTGCTAGAATTCTTATTAGTGTCTCTCCCGCTTTGTTTTGTACACCGAGAAAAGTTTTCCTATTATTCCAGATGGTATCACATAGCTTTTTGAGAACCAGTTTGGTGGTTAAGGCCTTAGGCTAGAAATCAGGAGACAGTGAGTTCTGGCCCCACCTTAGCCATGAAGCCACAGGGTGACCTTGGGCTAGCCACTCTCCAGGAGCTTGTCCAGGCAGTTACCAGGAGTCAAAACTGACTCAAAGGAGCCAACCAAACAACAAACAAACAAACAAATAAACATGCTTTTAGTATGGTCTCTTCTTTTGGTGAAGCATGTTGCCATAAAACTCTCTCTGCATCTATGGTTGGAGTATACTGTAGTTTTGGATCATTTGTAACATTGATCAGGTTGCCTTGGACTCATTTGCAATCATTCCATGGTTTTTAAGTTGTATCTAAGTATTGGCTTTTACACCCTTTTGTTAAACTGTGATGGCTACTCCATTTCTTCTGTTCTTGCCTACAGCAAAAAATATGGTGTCTCACTAACGTGAAGTGATGCGTTTCAGTCCATTTCATTTTGTTGATTTCCAGAATGTCAATGTCAGTCTTAATATTTCTGCTCTGGAAGCATCAAATTTGCCCTGGTTCATAGATCTAACATTTCATGTGCCAGGGATACACATGTCTTTGTAGCATCAGATTTTTATTTTGCTTTGGATGCATCAGCAACTGAACGTCCTTTTGGCTTTTGTCAAATCATAAACTCCAGGGTTATTTGTGCTTTCCTTCCTTGGTTTCTCCCAATACCTTGTAGGGTACCTTTCAAATGGATTGTGTGTGTGTGTGTGTGTGTGTGTGTGTGTGTGTGTGTGTAAGTGTGACTTGTCCAGTATTATTTTGAGATTCTCCTAGTTGTAAATGTTGGCATAATACTGGACTGGGTTACTATTTCCTTCTATGTTGCATTGGGTTTGGTTATGATCCCTGGTTTGTGACACCTGGAAATAATTACACAATTATGTAGATCACAGTATTATTGGAATGCACAACCCCCCTTACTGATCCTTGAAGGGAAATAGCATTAGATGGTGCATGCACACATTCTCATTCTCTCTCTCTCTCTTTCTCTCTCTCTTTCTCTCTCTCTCTCCCTCTCTCTCACACACACTTTTTAAAATCTCTTTGCTGCCATCTAATGTTCCTCTGAATTTTTGTGGCCAGACATATCTATACAAAGGTCTCTTTTGCACCCCTGAAGGCACTGAAGGTGTTGGAATAAGGTGAGTGAGGGGGGAACCCACATTAATGCCAGTATAGCAAACAACTTAAGCCAGTCATGGGGTGGCGAGGAGATGAAGGCAATGCCTTTAGGGCAGAGGCAGAAAAAAAGTGCAAGGGGGAGGAAAGCTCTACTCTTAGTATCTTTGGTTGTGTAGAAACTAGAAACTCTTTCTGATCCTTACGGGAAGACTTACGAAACATGATGTATGTAACTTTACTCTATTTTGCTTGTCCAAACAGCCTGAAAATCTCCTATATGCCACACCATTTGAAGATGCCAAGATTATGATTACGGACTTCGGGCTGTCTAAAATTGAGGCTGATGGCATCATGTCTACCGCTTGTGGAACTCCTGGCTATGTTGGTGAGTGTGGCAATATGGAAGGGTGAGGGGCCCAACTTTTTCTGTGTTAATATCCACTATTGTGTAGTTGTGCAAAGCCTTTCCTGTAGAAAATTGATCATTGAATTCAATGTTCAATGGTAACAGTCCATGACAAGGAAAGAGTACATTATACAAATATTTTATAGAGCGTGTGCTTTTTTTTTTTTTTTTGGCAACATTTGATTTGCTCCACTATTCTTGAACAGGGGATAATGTAAGGACCTGAAACTGCAACCCAAAAGCTTAAAACTCACCCTCCAATGGTTTTGAGCCATCGGGAGTGGTTTTTTTCCCAACTCTAAAGAGGCTGCCAATTGTTTCTTTTATGTTTCCCTTTTTCACCTACAAACTGAGATTTTTGCAATATTTTTGTAGCATATTCCGAATCATAATCCATCTGCTCATTTACAAGCGGGAGAGCTAAAAATGACTTTCATCCAGTTAAGGAACACGCAAACCTATTATTTATTTCATTTATTGGCATTTATAAGCAGTCCAACTCCAACAGATACTGGGTGGTACACAAAACCAGAAAAAAAATGCTATAACAACAGATAAAATCCTTAAACCAAATGGACAGCCCAGACTACAATAATTTTACAGATAATAAAAATGCAAAAAACACCAGGGGTCTTAGACGAAGAATAATACATCCACCCCAGGTCAGGGACCAAGGCCAGATTTTCCCAAGCTTTCCGATACTCCAGGAAAGAGGGCACCCTCCTAATCTCTAGGAGGAGGCTGTTCAAGCTTCTGGGGGCCTTGAGTTAGAATCAAAAGAGATTGGGGATATTATGTATTTTCCTAAAGCCTTACTCTTTCCTCCCACTTCTTGGATGCTACCGTACATGGGTGGTGGGCTGAGAATAGATGTGTCAAGAAGATATGACAATTAGCACAAGACTTTGCAACTGGCAATTGTCTTAAATACTGGCAACAAAAGCAAGGATTGTATTACATTTAACCAATACAGGGAGTTGCTGGAGCAATGCACTGAATATACATGGGAATCTTAGAGTTATAGTCTGGAAAATAATTGCATTTAAATTATAGGGTTACAAGGACAGGATTACAGGATTAGTTAGTCACTTAGATGATCATATGTTGGATTCAACTTTTGACTGTATGGACAAACATTGAGCATCTTGATCTGTCTCCTGTAACAACAAATAGCTGTTCCAAGTACATTTCAATAATCTCTCTGAATTTGTTCATTTACTTCATCTGTGGTCTTTCCAAGCATAATATTTTTTCTAGTTTATCTTCTGCTCATATCTATGTCCAAATTATGCAAATGTCTGCTTGCTGAATACCACTTCAAGAGACAGTAAGTCTTTATTTGATTGAGAACTGATTGACTGATTCTTTTTGCAGTCCATGGTACTACAACTCATGTGTTCTGTTCAGTATTATTTTCAATTAACAAAGTGGTTAACAGTACAAAAAAAGAACAGTTGCTTTTTTGTCCTTTTTTGTGCACAGTTATAGGGGTGGAGGGTTGGCTGTAAGTACTTATACTGTCATATGTACTGACATATGACAGTATAAGTACTTACATATGTAAGTACTTATGTACTTACATATGTAAGTACATATGTACTTACATATGTAAGTACATATGTACTGACATACACCCTTCCTTCAATGGAAGGGTGGAGTTTGCAAGATCAACATTAATAGGTTTTGTTGAGAATAGTTCCCAGTAGATTTCACCAAGCCCCAAGCTCATCGTACTGGCTGGGGCTGATGGGAATGTAGTTGATCTTCTTTTCACTGTTTAAAACTATGTTAAGCTGCAGAAAGTTGCATTGTGGGTACAGCTCTTAATAAAGCCTCATACCTTCCTTGCCTTCTTGGCCATTGTGTCTCTGTAGCCCCTGAGATCCTGGAGCAGAAGGCCTATGGAAAAGCTGTGGATTCCTGGGCACTTGGTGTCATCTCCTATATCTTGTGGGTACCTTTCTTCTTCACCAACTACCCATCCTTTTGCATTTATAATCGGTTGTAACATGTTTTTGCATATATATATGTGAGATTTGGTGCCTGTGTGTTCCAATCTGCAGACTTTGTGGTTATCCTCCTTTCTATGACGAGAACGACTCTGAGCTTTTCAACCAGATCCTGAAAGCTGAATATGAGTTTGACTCCCCATACTGGGATGATATCTCTGAGTCAGGTGAGTGGCACATTTGGGTAAAGAAAGTGGCATTTTTGCCAGTTCTAACTTTGGAAGTGGTAGAAACCCTGTTCAGAATCCCTCGAAAGGGGACGTGTTTTGACTGAAATATATTGACTGGGGGAAAGGACTTCAATCCTGTTCCTTAAAAGCAGGGATCCATGCCTTAATCGTCCCATTCATTTTGCTACCTTCATATTCCATTCCCCATCAGTAGACACACTTGATAACAACAACAAAAAATGGGTGTATGCTCTTCACCTTTTGCCAGGTGAAAAGGTGAAGAACAAGTAAGCACTTGGCAGACCATTTTTCTTCTGACAGAATACACTTTCATGCACACCTCCCTCTAAAATAGAGTCTTTTGTACAAACTGTCCTTTAATGCGGGGGTCTCCAACCTTGGCAACTTTAAGACTTGTGGACTTCAACTTTAAGACTTGTGGACTTCAAACTGTCCTTTAATGCAGGGGTCTCCAACCGTGGCAACTTTAAGACTTGTGGACTTCAACTCCCAGAATTCCTCAGCCAGCAAAGCTGGCTGAGGAACTCTGGGAGTTGAAGTCCACAAGTCTTAAAATCGCCAAAGTTGGAGACCCCTGCTTTAATGTATACATTTTGCCTTTAATATAAGCATGTTTTGTATCTTTGGATTTGCAACATTTTAACAACAGTGTGTTCTTTTAAAGATTTAAATGGGCTGGAAAATTCATGTTAAAAAATTGGATGGTCCTCTAAACCTCTGTATACCTTTCTTGATCTTTGTTTGGCAATACTCTTATTTGTCACATGCTTCATATTCTCAAAGGAGTGAGGAGAATCACAAAGCCTTGTGATGCACAAAGGAAGGGGCCTACCAGGAACATCCTTGAGAGGGGGTTAAAAAAAAGAAGATGGCGGCTATGACTGTGTGAGCAAAGCTCCACTCCTTTTCTAACACGCATGACATGTAAAATGAGAGCAAGGCTTTGAATATGTGCTTAAAGCTGCCATCTTGACTTTCATTGACACCACCAAACCCTCTAGACACTCCTGATCTACCATCTTAATGGAACTTTTTTAGTGATATTTTCTTTCAGATTTTCAGCAACTGTGACCAGTTCCTAGTAGCAATAAGCTGGCACAGATTCATTATCTCTTGACATTCCCCCATCTTGCCCTGCTACATTAAGTGACAAAGTGATGGTTCAAGGATAAGATACTAAACGTAGTCATAGTGGGGCCACTTTATCTATTTGGTTGCCAGGGGGTAAAAAAAGCTTTTTCTGGTAACTTTGAACTAAATCATGAGGTTTGTGTTTCTGTTCCTCTGTAGCCAAAGATTTCATCCGCCATCTTCTAGAACGGGACCCTGAGAAACGATTCACTTGTGAACAAGCTTTGCAACATCCCTGGTAAGACTGACTACCTGAGGGGATAATTTTTCTCTTTTAATCATTCTTCCACACCACTCCCATTTCCATTCCAATTCCCATTCTCTCAATCCCTTAAAAGGATTGTGGATCTTGGAATTTTTTTTTGAAGTTCTTCTATTGATCTCTTTCAAGGCACAGGACAGAGAGTATTTGTTTCCTTGTATGATTTGATTGCTTATTAGTAACCCATGACTATCACTAAGTGTTGTATCTTATGATTCTTGATGAATGTATTTTTTTCCTTTATGTACATTGAGAGTTTCTGCACCGGAGACAAATTCCTTATATATCTAATCACATTTGGCCAATAAAGCTATTCTATTCTATTCTATTCTATTCTATTCTATTCTATTCTATTCTATTCTATTCTGTTCTGTTCTGTTCTGTTCTGTTCTGTGCTGTTCTGTTCTATTTCTTTTTCTTTTTCTTTTTCTTTTCTATTTCTATTTCTATTCTATTCTATTCTATTCTATTCTATTCTATTCTATTCTATTCTATTCTATTCTATTCTATTCTATTCTATTCTAAAGAATCTTGCCCTGTCTTAAGCTACTGTAGATGCTGGAGAGACAAATATTCCCTTATACCACTCTGCACAAAAAATAAATAAGATAAATTATATGCACCCCCTACTTCCACGACCATCATGCTCTTAAAGTGGTTTGCCTTTAGTTGGATATATAAAAAACAGTCCTGAGAAGTTTCTATGACAGTGAGTAGCAAAGTCAGCAAGCCACCTTTCCCCTTCAAAGACCAGATAGTCTGATTGAAGCCCAGGGCAAAACAAGAATTATTGTGTATAAGGAAATAGATCACGCACAATTCAGGAAACACTTCCCTCTCTTTTATACCCTTCAGGATCTCTGGGGATACAGCTCTGGAGAAGGATATTCATGGATCTGTGTGTGAGCAGATTCAGAAGAACTTTGCTCGCAGTCAGTGGAAGGTAAGGTCAAAAGTTGAAGGTCAACTTAAGATAAGGATGGTTTTGCATTCCTTTTGCACTCCCTTTTTAATTTCAAAGAGAGGGATACTGGATTTCGATAGCTGTGATGAATTTTCCTACTTTTATCCTCTGGCCGGGATAAGTTGAATTATATCTTTTTAGAGACACCTCGTTAACAGTAGAAAAACAGAAAAAGATCCTGCCACAAAATTTAGCAGCTTAGTTCTCACCTTCTTGACAGGATGGAGCTGCAGCTCAGAAACCTGGTAGTACCTTTTAATTAAATTGGTTAATGCTAGCAGATTTCTGCTTCTTGACAGGTGTGTTTCTTGTCAAGATTCCTGTGAACAATGCTGTACTCTTGATAACTCTACAGTGTTCAAACTCCATCTTTTTGTGATTTGTTTTCATTCTATGGCTCCTACGGGCACCAAGCTTCCTCTCTCAACTTTTTAAAAAGTTAAAAAAGTGAAGTCTCCCCCTTGCTCCTCTGTGTTCCCATTTCTTGTCACCTTTGATAAAGAATACAGGTTTGGCAGCATTCAGCTTGGCTCTGTTTTAAGTATGGGTGAGTCTACATTTTAGATGGCAAATTGAGAAAGCAAATAAAGCTTCCCTTTTGATCAAAATTATTCTGCTCTTCATGAAAACTGGGAAAGATGGGCTATAATTAAACCTAAGTTTTGCATATATATATATATATATATATATATATTATTTTCTGTTTATTGATTACCATTTTCATCTCTAGGTTTTTACTTTGTTAGGGTATCTTGTAATCCACCCAACATATTCTGATTATTAGATTGACTAGAATTAGAATTAAATAAAAATAAACAATATCAACCTTCCTTTTACTTTGGTACCCAGGGTGATGCTTACAAAAAGTTAAGTTAAATATTTTAGAGAGGAAATCACCCTGAATTTCTTCAGCAAGCAAACAGGTAAACTAATACTTCATGGTGACAGGTTTGCTGAAATTCTGTATACAAGTCCTTTCAGCTTTGTCTTGTTTGATTATCTGCTGATGTGTATTCTTTAATCAAAGGAAATACGATATCATTTTGTATAATTCTCAATATTACTGTTGGCTTTACAGCCACCTACACAGCTGGGCTTATCAGCAGTAAAACACCGATGGATACCTTAATAGTTCCATAGATAATTTTTACCTGATAAATTTTTCAAACGGTGAAAAAAATAAAATCAGTCAAGACAATTTTATCTGTCCTTCTGACTGATGCCTAAAATCAGTCAAGACAATTTTATCTGTCCTTCTGGGATGTCTGATTCACATTTTTATTTTTTCAGCGAGCAATCAATGCCACATCCTTTTTACGCCATATCACCAAGATGGGGCCAGGTGCAGAGGGTGAAGAAATTGGAGAGGCAACATCTGGAAGACAGCGTGGAAAATGGTGACCCCTCCCCCCCAGAGGTGGGTTCACTAAAGAAAAATATAAGTTTAACATCAGCTTAGGTTTCTTTGAATCCTCTTTTTTTACTGAATTATTACCCAGCTTAGAGTAAGAAGGCCAATTGCTGTTTTCAGGACTGCACACTGAAGCGTTTACTTAGCAGCAGAAAAATCCTCACGTGCAGCTTTTGGGCTATCACAATTAATATGTCTGTCTTTACAAAACAAGTTTGCTTTCTGACCAACTTCATCCAGGCTTCTGGATTACCTAAGCAATCCTTACATATACAAATTCCATAGGCTGTTTATAATGATTGGCCAATTAGTTGTTCTGGGTGTGGTGTGACCATATGACCTCTGTAGATCCATCACTGTGGCACGTTGGGGTCTGCTTTGCCAAGTTGCCACTATCAACCTGAATGGTGCCTTCTCTACATCTACCCTGGAAGAGGAAAATGAGGCAGAAGCGCTGCTGGTGGCAAACAGCCTGCATTGTTTTAGAAGAGATCCTATAGGACCTAGGCCGATCATCTTATTTCTCCAGATGTTTTGAACAAGCCCTGCCATTATTTCTGCTGCCTGGGGCTGTCAAGAACCGGACACGAAAACATCAGGAGGTCACTAGATTTCTCCCTGGTGTCAAGAGTGTATTCACAGCAGGCATGCTAGAATTAACCCACTTCTTGTTCCACAGGTGCTTCAAGAGCCTGGGCCACTGCCTTGCATGAGCTACCCTCCTGCATGCGGCTTCACAGCCCCAACGCTGCGTCAGCACCCTCCCCCCAAGTGTGGGGTATCCTTTCATTTTGTGCTCCCCCCCCCAAATCTGGGGGTATCTCTGCCCCGAGGGGCTCAGGAGTTCAGTCAAGCCGAGAGCATCCCTGTCCAGCCTGTTTTGAGCCGGCTCAAATGCAATCTGCCTGGGGCCAGAGGTCATCCCATTGAAGCCGGTGGAGCCTTTGCAATCTTGCTGCGTTACTCACCTCACTTCCATCCATATCAGCCATCGAGGCTAGCAACCTACTGGAGAATCAGCGGAGATGGTGGTGGCAGGGAAATAAAACTCCCAGCCATTCTTCGCCAGCTGTTGGGGTTGATTTCAAAATTGCTTTGAGAAGCTAATTCTCCTCCTGTCCTCCTGAGTCATAGAAGGATAGCTTTCCACAGAAGGGAACAGCTGGTGTCGCTGAAGGAATACAGTGAAACCTGACCACGCTGTTGTTGGAAGAGAAGGGACTCTCTTCCAGTAGGAAGATGGGAGCTGCCACAGCAAAGTCGAGGGCTTTTTCTGAGATATCGTGAATCTCAGCTACCTTAGCTCAAGTTGAATCAGGATCAAAATGAAATTCAGTAGGTGTTTGGGGAACCTTAGTAGGGTATGCCTGAGTGTTGCCAGACTCCCCAAAGGATAGAACTTCCTTCTGATCTTAGAGCAATGTTGTAACCGTTTGAAATATGTGTGAGATTTTGGGCGGACAAGATCACTGCTGAATATATGCAGTGTTTTAAAAATGAGCTGCTTGTTTAAGAAGAAGAGCCAGTGTAATGCCTAAAGTAGGGTCAAGGCAGTGAGCTGATGCATCTCCTTGGCCTAGGAAGCAACTGTCCAATCTGATGTTTGACTTGTAGGTAATACAAAACAAAGGTTGTTCCATCTGCTGTTGAATCTTCACATCTGGGTTGGGTTTTTAGTTTGTATTGTAATTGCTAGGCTGAGTAAGAAGAAGACCGTGTCGGAATTCGATGGAAACAGCGAGCCAGCGGGGTCCTGTCAGAAGAAGAAATGGACTTCTGGAGGAGTTTGATGCTCCAAGCGAATTAAAATTAAAACTATTACTGTAGTATCCCTCTCCCTATAATAGAAATGAGCCACCATCTGTAGGATGGCTTCAGCATCTAGGCTGCTTCCATCCATGAGCCTTCGTTTCCATTATATCATTGCTTTTCAGGTTTTGTACTTTGTGGGACTGGAATATGAATCCACGTGATGTGTTTCCCTCATTGCAAAAATTCCATTTACATTAGCAAGCAGATTATGACAGGATCTTCTCAAACTTCTACATGTCATCCCACCAAGCCTTTATTCCCTCAGACCCCCCTGGTTGTTTTGAAAATACATGTGCTAATGTTTTGCACACTGGTTTTTTTAAATTTATGCCAGAATCTCAAAATACTATCCAGTTTTCAGTAAAGACTTCCTAGTGTAATGTAGGCTTTTTGACATTTGGCAACCATGAAAAGGTTAACCTGCAACATTAAGAGGTCCAATAAGGTTGTTAAATGTATAAATAAAATGATATCAGCAGGGATCCTGATATCCCCAACTAGAAGGTTTGTGCGCATCTTTTCCCTCTTCTATGTCAATATTCCAAAGGAGCAAATAGGAACATTTTAAAAAATACAATATATATATTGGCTATTCGCTTACATAGATATTTTTTTGACCTTGAAAGGGAAAAAGGAGAAAGATTAATAGAAGTGAGAGATAGAGCAAATTATATAAAAAAAGAAATTGTACTTTGAAATTTTAGTTTACTGTTTAAAATAATCACCATCCTGGAATATGGGAGTAAGTGAACCAGGGCATTTTCTCAAAATTTTTGATAGTGAAGGAGTATAGAAGATTTTTTTTGACTTTGTAGAATAGTGTTTCTGTTCTGTTTTTAGCTAAATGGATTATCGGTGGTAAAGAGAAAAAAAAAAAAAATAATATGTGTATGTGTAGGGAGGTATTACTGACCAAAGGATGATGAAGAAATCTCTCTGATGATATTTTAGCAATTTTTTTGCTAGCACATGTTAGAAGGTCCATCTGGCAGCCGCTGTAACTGGAAGGAGAAATGCTTTTTGAAATGGAGCCATGGATGCTCCCCCACCCCAATCAATAGGGTAGCCACAAGATTTCCAACATAAAGACAGTGATTGACAGGGAAACGGGTAGCGAGGCCAGTAGTTATATTCCACCTTTTGCACCACCTGTCTGTAGCTTGCCTGCTGGACTGGACGTTTACTTTGCTGAGTTGCTTGGAATTGGAGACTTTCTTAACATTCTTAGTGGGATGGATGGGAATTGTTTTCCTTCATGCTTCCCTCCCCTTATACAAATGTGTCAAATAAACTGGTGAAAACAGGAATATGGTTGTGGAACGCCTGTTTTTTGTTCAGTGACACAGTGGTCACCTCTTTCTTCCTCATGAGTTTTAGTGGTTCATCTTCCTTCTCCAGAAGATCTGGGGATTCAATTGATATGCTGGTTGGAATGCTCTCAAGTGACCCTGGGAATCTTACTGTTCTAAAGTTGTCCAGAAGATGGTCTTTTCCATCAAACAGGCAATCACCTATTCTGTGTCACTGGAGGATGAGCCTGAGGGAGGTGTGCAACCTGCTGAGCTCCAATTGGCCCCCTGCGGGACACCTTCCTTCTATCCAGGGGTGGGCCTCTTTGACCAGCAAATTTAACATCCAATGTGCATAAACGGGCTGAAAGAGGATCCTGATGCCCAAGCTGGAGAAAGCTGGCTGAATGGATTGGGCAAATGTTGCCAGGGTGTTCAGTGGATTTGACTCCCTACACAATTGGAACTTTGATTGCAAACCAATCTTTCTCTCAGAACCTAGAAACCCTCAAGAATCTCTATTAGATAATTTAGAAATAACTTATCCAGATGGGTTTTAGCTTGGGCCAAGAGATGACATTAAATACAATCCTTGGAACTGCACGTGGCTCTTCAGTGGCAATGGCTAGACGAGAGTGCAGTCAAGGGGGAAGAGAATTTGGTAGCTTTTCTTTATTTGGTTTCATCTCCATGGCTCATGACAAATACTTGGAAGTGAAGCTTGAGAAGGATCAATGGCACCATTTCATGCCTGCAACTCTCAACAAGACAACAGCCACTATCCTAAGCAGTTTCTAAGAGATTAAATTTACTTTGTCCTAGCCGATAAACAATGAAACTTACACTACTGTACATAGGCTGCTGTTGATTTTCTCAGATTCCAGAAGGCCATTGAATCCCAGATAATATTACATCACATTACCTCAGTTGTCATGCATGATCCTGCCCACGTGGCACCCAATCCTGAATGAATATGAGCAATGTTATCAGTAAATAATCTAACATATGTGTCACAGTGGCAGCAAGAACGCTGTCTTTTCTAATTTCCACAAAAGGTTACTGGAAAAATCCAATCATCCAAATCTATTAAGTACTTTGAGGAGAAAAAGTGGTCTTCTATCTTTGAAGGAATCAGGGATGCAAATAATGTGCGGCTTGACCAAGAAGTGATCTCGCCATGCCAAAGGATTGATGATTATGTCCTCTATATTCAGATCACATGCCTTCTACTTTGAGATGAACATCAGGTCTATGTGATGACCTATATCCATTGGGGGGTGAGATATTCCAGGACAAGCTAGTTTTGTCATGAAATCTTCAGCACATTTGGACATGGCACTGAATTGAAGTCCCTCGGCACTACAAAGCTGGGGCAGCTCTCCCATCAGCCCTTCCAAAGATCTAGGAGCTCAGGAAAGGCTGCTGATGGACTAGATCTCCAACTTAACCATGTGTCAGTAATATGCACCAGATTCACCTGTTCAACCATCCCCGCACTGTAAATAGATGAGGTCATATTTCAGTTGGACCTGGTGTTCACCAGCAGCCTAACAAACTCCATTATAGCTTAGTACATATATGAATCCAGTCAATATAATTTGCAAATTATGATTGATAGGAGTTTAGTACAATGTATAAATCAGACCTGTTGTAACTTCTAATTTTGGCTCAAAGTTCAGATGTGAAAAAACATGATTGTAAAGAAGAATGAAGATATTTATGAATAAAATCATGTTTTGGCCAACATGGGTGGTTTTGTATGCGATCCAAACTCAAATATATTAAGAAAAGCAATTTCCTATCTGAGAGCTCCTGAGTTATGTAAGCTTAGAGTTAGCTGGAAATATGCCTTTTTTTCTTTCAGGAAGTATCTCAAGTTGCTTGGTTTTTGTTTTTGTTTTTGTATGCACGTACAGAGAAACCCAGTTCCTGGGTAGGCTGCAATTGGAAAGTTACTCTCCATATTTTTCCATGCTTCCTTCTGTTCCATCTGTTCACTTCTTCCACCCGCTGCGCAACGCACCTGTCAACTTGCTTGTCATGACACAAGGAGAAGAATGAAGGACGAAGAGAGCGGAGAATAAATGAACAATAGAAGACTTGATGGCTTCTTGACACCCACATTGCTTGTTATGGTTCAACCCAGCAAATTCCTGAGTCATGGAAGTGCTATCCTCTGTTTATATTGGTATCAGCCTCTAAATACCTCTTATTTAAAAATCTACAGGGTGAATTGCATAGGTTTATTAGCAACTGAATAAATAGAAGTTAAACAAGGTCTTTTTGGACAACAGGAAAAAGTTCAGCTTTTAAACTGGCATATGAAGACATGCTATTTCTTTCTTTCTTTCTTTCTTTCTTTCTTTCTTTCTTTCTTTCTTTCTTTCTTTCTTTCTTTCTTCTTTCTTTCTTTCTTTCTTTCTTTCTTTCTTTCTTTCTTTCTTTCTTTCTTTCTTTCTTTCTTTCTTTCTTCCTTCCTTCCTTCCTTCCTTCCTTCCTTTCTTCCTTCCTCTCTCTTTCTCTTTCTCTCTCACTTATGTAGATGGTATTAAGTTCAACAGTTATGCCATGTTTGAAGGGACACCTATATTTTTTGAAATGGATCAGCTCTTCTCCACATGACATACTCTAGGAAGATTGAATTGTGTTGATGGGAATGATCAGCCAGCACTAGAATCAGTTCACTTACCTATTTTGATCATGCTGGCAAAGATAAAAGCTAAAGTTACCCTGAACCTATAGGATTTTAAACGATTGAAGCATAGCCACATTTCATGGAACAATAAAAATCCATTATAAATACAGCTTTTTCTGTCCTGCATATAGGTCACCCTTGCTCCATCCTTAACGCTATAAAACTGCTATTTACAGGGATGCTATTGCCTCTTGAGACTATATCCCAAACCTGAGATGCTTCTCTGCCCCTTCCTCTTTTGTGGTCTAAAATAGTGTTTCTCAGTTTTGACAACTTTAAAATGCATGGACTTTAGCTCCCAGAATACTTGGAATGCTGGCTGGAGAATTCTGATAGTCGAAGTCCACATGAAGTTGCCAAAGTTGAGAAACCTAGTCTAAAGACAAAGTCTCCATTGTATCAAAGTTGACTCCTGTTGATGTTTTGGCAAGGTTTCACAGGTTTCTGAGTAATGACAGAAAAGTGGCTCTCCATTAGCTTTTTTTTACAATGTTCTTTAGATGTTTCAGCCTAGCCCACAGGCACCCCTGGAATTTTTGTCCACAGCCAAGTAATAACCAGGTTTGATTTGACTCCTCTTTTGTGGTGGCTCAGTGGCTAAGATGCTGAGCTTGTCGATCAGAAAGGTTGGCAGTTCAGTGGTTTGAATCCCTAGCGCCGCGTAATGGAGTGAGCTCCTGTCACTTATATCAGCTTCTGTCCACCCAGCTGTTCGAAAGCATGTAAAAATGCAAGTAGAAAAATAGGGACCACTTTGGTGGGAAGGTAATGGTGTTCCGTGCGCTTTCAGCGTTTAGTCATGCCGGCCACATGACCACGGAGACATCTTTGGACAGCACTGGCTCTTTGGCTTTGTAGCAAAGATGAGCACCACCTCCTAAGAGCTGGAAACGACTAGCATGTATGTGTGAGGGGAACCTTTACCTTTTCCTTGATATAGCTTCTGACACCATGGTCGTTTTTTTGTGAGAAAGCAGGTTGAATGAGGAAAAAAAAATCTCCCTCTAGAGAAGCAGCATGGCAAATCCTAACTATTCTGTGAAGAAAGCTGGGGAGCAGGATTGAGAGAGAAAGCAGATGACCAAGTTGTCTACTAGTATAGTTCACCTGTTTTCCCACCCCCAACCTCCCGCCTGGCCCCCGCGGACCTAGAGACTGGGAAGACCTAGACACGGGACGACTGAGTTTTAGTCCCACCCGGAGCACAAAGGCAACTGGATGGTTTTGGGACAGTCATTTTCTCTCAGCTCTTCTAGGAAGCAAACAATGGTGAGCCACTTCCGAAAACCCTTGGCAAGAAAACTGCAGGGACTTTTTCCAGACAGTCTCCAAGAACCAGACAGGATTGACCAGAGGGGAAAAAAAAAAGTTCATTGATCTTCCAGTAGATGGCAGACATGCCCCTTTTCAGAGTCTGGGGATGTGTTGGCGTCTCATGCTAATTTGGTGGGTGTTATATGAGGCTGCTGGCAATGCCAAGAGAGTTATGCAACCATTGCTGATGACAAATCCCTCTTGTCTCCTGGCTGAATCACACCTCACCACACATTTCATTGGAACCCCGCAAAACAACCTCCTCCTCCTGGACTGATTTCCATCTCAGGGGTCCTACCTGCCTGCCCTGCCTGGGCTCTAAAGTGCTTATCCCTGCCATTTATTTGGGGAGTGCAGAAAAAGAGGCTGCAGCCTGCTGTGTGGGCGTATAGAAGGAAGGAGGCTAAAAGCATTGAATAAGAGAAGCAAGAGGGACTTAGCTGGCCTCTCCTGCAGTGACTCTCCTCCCTCTTTTCCCCTGCAGAGCCTGTACAGTTGAAGCAGGATCCAGGAAGCCCTCGGGAAACCTGGGAATAAAGTTGCCAGCTGAACAGGAAAAACACGGACTGATTTTTGCCATCCTCCTTTTTTTTTTTTTTTAGTAGCGGCTTGATTTGCAGAAGCGAGTACTTAGAGTTCTTCACAGCTCTGAGGTGTGTTATCAGCACTGCACCTGTTGAGATGCCAAGAGTGGATTTGTGTACTTTGAAGAGTCATGAAGACAAGAGTGTCTCACAATCTCTCTCTCTCTCTCTCTCTCATCTCTCTCTTATTTCTATTTCTGTATCGTCTCTCTCTTCTCTGGATCAGTCCCCCAATGGAGATCAGGGTGGACCCCACATCCAGCTACATTCAGGAAACTGTCGAAGGCTGAGCTGTTCCAGAGACCATTCAAATGAAGTCTGGACCATTTCCCCCCCCCACATCTCATCATGCTTTTATTTTAAATCAGGGGTCCCCAAACTTGGCAATTTTAAGACTTGTGGACTTCAACTCCTAGAATTCTCCA